CCCCAGTGAGGGGGCAGGAGATGGGGCCGTTGGGAATGAGGGAAACTCCGGGAGTTTGCAGGTTTGTCGTGTTCTCCTGGGACAGATGCAGCCCCCAATTGGCCGGAGTGGGGATAACATGGCGGGAGCTGCAGCACTGGCAGCCCAAGAGTGAGGCCTGAGGTGGAAGAGGTGGCGCCACAAGGCAGCTCTGGGCATGTCCCAGTCTCCTGGCTCTGCGGGTGGATCCCGGCTGCCTGGCACCGGCTTTGCTGAGGGGTCGCTGGGAGGGCTCCCTGCTCACACTGACCCTGCTCTGTGTCTCTTTGAAGGTGCTGACGAGCTGAGGCTGGCGGATGGAGGCAGCCCCTGTGCCGGGAGAGTGGAGGTTAAACACCAGGACCAGTGGGGGACAGTCTGTGATTATAACTGGGACATGGAAGACGCTGGGGTGGTTTGCAGGCAGCTGGGATGTGGAGCTGCCATCAGCGCCCCTGGCAGAGCTCAGTTTGGACCAGGATCCGGACCAATTTGGCTGGGTGATGTTACCTGTGATGGTACCGAGTCTGCTCTCTGGGACTGCTGGAACCCGACATGGGGTGTGAATTACTGTTATCATGAAGAGGATGCTGGAGCGACGTGTTCAGGTAAGAACCAGCCCCCTCAGTCCTGAACGGCCAGTCCCCTGAGACCAAAGGGCTTGGACCCAGAGGGTGTCCTGGGCCTGTGACCTAGTGAGAAATAAACCAAAGCCAGAGCCAGTCCTGTTACTGTTGCTGATACTGAGCTGCAACTATCACTGCTCACCTCCCCGGGCACTGGCCATCCCCTGTGACTGGGAAGTGGTTTCATTGTTGCATTTACCACGATCCCAGCACCTCGTCCTTCTCTCTGAGTGGCTCCCGTTTTACGGTTCCTTTGCTGATTGTGAGCCAGTGACAGGGAGGGTCTGAGCCCAGCTGTGGGACCTGCTGCCAGGACGGGAGCTCAATTGGGGGAGATCCGTGACCCAGCCAGGAGCTTCATGCTGAAGGTTTCTGTGTGTTTGGTTGTTGATTAGGGCACTAGCCGTGCCTGCCCACAGGGTCCTGTGGCCATGTTTGGCACCTGCCGTGCCTGCCCCACAGGGTCCTGTGGCCGTGTTTGGCACCTGTCATTTTGGAGGAAAATTTTTGAGAAACTGATTGTCAGGGTTAAAAATAAAAAACAGGGTCCTGTGGCCGTGTTTGGCACCTGTCATTTTGGAGGAAAATTTTTGAGAAACTTATTGTCAGGGTTAAAAATAAAGAAATCCCATTGAATTAGCAAATTTGCCTATCTGCAAATAACGTGTCTGTCTCCTAGAACCACTGGCTTTGGTTTAAAGCTTCTGTGTGATTTCTGTGTTGGGATTTCCAAAGAGGCCAGGAGCGGTTTGGTCCCAACCTGCATTGTCTGTCAGTGAAACTTTTGATCCTCAGAGCCTACAGGCCAGATTTTTAGAAAGGATATTTAGTGACTAACACGGCAGATAGGCGCCATGGGGGATTTATAGTGTGTCTGCTGCCAAACTCCCAGCAGCTTTGGAAAATTGCACTAGGCACCTGCCTGCATTTCTGGGCACTGAATGACCTTTAATAGCTGGTCCTGAGTCTTTTTTTGTAAATGGCACAAACTTCTAAGTCACTAAGGTAATTTAGAAAATATTACCCTTAGGATAAAATCCAGACCCTTCCTAAGGGTACCACAGAATAGTAGGGTCTTACAGCTTGGCTAGAATTAGGGTCAGCCCAGAGCATTCCCCAGACTGTTTGTAACTTTTAAGCTTTGGACCAACTACTAATAGAAAATTATAAAGTCTCTGGTACCCTGTAGACCAGGCATGGAGGCATTTGTGGTACTAGGCAGTTAACATTGCAACTATGGGACCATTATAAGTTTTATTTTAAGTTTTTGGTTCAACTTTGCAAAGGAGTAATACAGTCTTATGAAAACAGGACAAGGAAGAGAATATTTTTCTATCATTCCAAAAGTTTTAGCAGCTTCCTTGGCACTTTGAGCTAGGGGTACTGATTTGTCTTAATTCTTTCCTGGATTTTGATTGTTTCAACAATAAACCTTGAATTCTCTGTACGTGGGGTAGGGGTGGTGGGTGAAGCAGAGGGTGTTACACAAAGTTTTCTGGTATTTAAAAATAAATTAAAAAGACAGAGGAAAAAACACTTAGCAAAAAGAAACGTCATTGCCAGGACTCTGAAACTCTACAGATTTAAAATATATTGGCCCTTGCAGAAGTAAATTCCCTAATGCAGTGTACACAGGGAAATGGCCCCACTACTGGTACACATTTTCCTGGCCTCTACACCACACTGATGAAATGGGCCAGCAAAAGGATCTGAGTCCCTGCTCTCACTTCCTTTACCCTGAGCCCTCCCTGACCTTGAGGGCTCCCCTTCTACCCTCTTATGCGGCAGAGTACCAACAAGCTGGGCCCAGGATTCCTGGGTGGTTTGTGCCCAACTTTTCTGTGGTCCCTGAGGACAGAGGGGAGGTGCCCCCGCTGTGGGGTGCTTTCTCTGCTCGGGACACTCTTGACTATTACATACAGTGAGGAATAGTGAGAGAAATGTAGCTGTGTTAGTCTGGTGTAGCTGAAACAAAAAACAGGACTATGTAGCACTATAAAGACTAACAAGATGGTTTATTAGGTGATGAGCTTTTATGGGCCAGACCCACTTCCTCAGATCAAATAGTGGAAGAAAATTGTCACAACCATATATACCAAAGGATACAATTTAAAAAAACGAACACATATGAAAAGGACAAATCACATTTCAGAACAGAAGGAGGATGTGGGGGAGGGGGGAGGTAAATGTCTGTGAGCTAATGATATTAGAGGTGATAATTGGGGAAGCTATCTACCACACTAATACCAACCCTGGTACCTTCCCTTGCAACAAACCCTGTTGCCAGCTTTGTCCACATATTCACTCTGTTGATACCATTATTGGAACTAACCAACTAACGAGGTGTACCGGTAGTTTGAATTAGAAAGCCTAATTCGAACTACCTACTCCGTGCCGCATGTAGCCACGGGCACGGAGTCCGCACTAATGGGGATTTAAAAATGGCGGCGCCCGGCAAGATGCAAATGAAGCCCGGGATATTTAAATTCCAGGCTTCATTTGCAACTTTGATTGCCTACATTAACCACCCTAGTTCGAACTAGGGTGGTAGTGTAGACATACCCATAGAGACCTAGGGCTGGAAGAGACCTTAGAAGGTCATCAAGTCCAGCCCACTGCTCAAAGCAGGACCAACCCCAACTAAATCAACCCAGCCAGGGCTTTGTTATCCCAGGACTTAAAATCCTCTAGGTAAAATGCCTCTAGGCACTAACTAATGACCTCTTGCAATATGGGTCAATCTCGTCCTAACACCACTGGCATGTCAGCTGGGAGGGGCCACCCCTACAAGGAGGAGCTCCTTCTTTATAATAGTCTGGCTGCAGATGGTGTCCACCAGAGCTGTGGCCTCCATGTCATCTACGACCACAGGGATCACCAATTTTCCAGGTTGAGGGTTGTGTGCCGGCTGGTCGGCCTCCCAGACTTGTCCAATCCATATATGTCCTTCTGGAAGTGTCCCCCTTGGACACACTCCCAACAATGGTCTCGGGGGCCTGTAGATCGAGGATCATCCTTGGCAGACTTCTCTTCCCTTATGGAAGAGTTTCTTTCCCTGTGTTGTTCTGGGTCACTGCTCTTTGGTGTTCTGTCCTGGGGGTCTCGGCCTGCCTGGTATAGTATGTGCATGGGGATCCCACACCTTCCATACTCTGTGACTTCCCCCCCCCCAGACCCTCTCATCTCCGTGGCCTCCCTGACTGAGGGTCTGGCTCCAGTTTCTTTCGCTGCTACGTAATCCTCCATTAGGGTTACTGCCACTGTCAGTGTGGTTGGCCAATGTCGTTGCACCCACTCGTTGGCTCCTAGAGAGGTACCTGTATGAATTGCTACAGGGCTACTGTGTCTGGGTATGTCTACACTAGCCCCCTAGTTCGAACTAGGGTGGCTAATGTAGGCATTCGAAGTTGCAAATGAAGCCAGGGATTTAAATATTGCAGGCTTCGTTTGCACGTTCCCATCCGGTCGCCATTTTTAAATCCCCTTAGTCTGAACTGACTGCCCGCGGCTACACGCGGCAGTCAAACGTTAACTCAAACTAAGTCCTTAGTTCGAGTTAACTATTACACCTCATCCTCATTCCTCATATTTAAATCCCTGGCTTCATTTGCAAGTTCGAATGCCTACATTAGCTTCCCTAGTTTGAACTAGGGGGCTAGTGTAGACATACTCTCTGTGACTTGGGGTCAGTTAAGCCCTGTGGGTTTGGCCACTTCCAGCAGTGGTCCCTGATTCTTTGGGCGACAGCCTGTGACTGTGCCCTGCAGCGCACCCCTCTTGATGCAGCCTCTGCTGGTATATCTCTGGGCTGATATCAGTACTATCTAAAATGGCCACCTTCACCCTTGGATACTTGAGTGCATCTCAGGAGTCTAGGTTATGATACGCGGTCTGTGCTGGTCATGTTAGGGAAGGGGCCAATAGGGTAGCCCAGTTTTCCTGGGGCTAGTGAGTGGCCATAGAAACTCATTCGAAGGTAACTAAAAATGCTTTGGGGTTATCCCCTTGCCCCATGTTTGTTAGCAGAATGGGCAGCCCTAGTCCAGTGTCTCCTGTCCTGTTCCAGTGGCAATGGAGCTGGGTGGTCCCCTTGGCTGTAGCAGTGCCACTACCTGTTGAAGCAGGCCTTTATGGTGGGTCTGGTTCTGGGTGGTCAGCTCCCAGTGCAGCTGCTGCTGTGGCTCATGATGTTGTGCCCTTTGCAACTGGTGTTGGGGGATCGGGGGGTTAGCTGCTTATCAGCTGCACCTGCTGCTGGTGGTGCTCGTATGTTTGCTGCTGGTGGTTTTCCACCATCTACTGCTGGAATTTCTCCATATCCAACTCTTAGCCAACCTACAGGGGCAAAAGGAGGCTCCCTTGTCTCCCTCTCTCCACGTGGACTGCTCAGCAGGTCCTGGATAGTGCCCACATTCTCCACCACGCTGTTGTACTTAAAAGAAGTACTCGGGATCTTTTTCAGAGGGATAAGGCAACACGCCACATTTATTGAACACACATAGAATAATCAATACTTATCATATGCATATGACACATTGCACTCATGCACTCACTCAGTCACACACACAATCACACTCTGTCTTGTTACTACCAAAAGTTGCTCCCCCTAACTGCACTGGCCAGGTGAGTTAGATGGGGGAGGGGTGGAGCCGGGCTTCTGCTGATCCGGATTGATGCTCCCATGTTGACAAAACGAAAACCCCGGGGTCCCTCTGCAAGATTAGTCATCAACTGGACTTTCTTAATGCTGCTTCAAAGAGAGTTCTTCCAAGGGCAGGCACTTGCTGCTTGACTCCCAAGGCTTCTGTATGTCCAGTCTTCTTAATGAGCTCACTTTGCAGGTATTGTCTTAGATCTGGCTCCGAGACCTTCTCCACCCTTGCAACTGCTGCTGGAGGTGCTCCCCTTTCATTCTTCAATCACACCTCATTCATTTCAACAGGGCAATCAAGGAAAGGGGAGAGCTCAAAAGACATTTTTTC